GATTGCCTGAGCCCGTGGGTTCACGACCCTCCGGGGCAACTCGGCGAGATCTCATCTATACAATAAATCAAATATTAGCCAGGTGTGGTAGTGCATGCCTGTAGTTCTGGCTACTTGGAAGACTGAGGTGGAAGGATCGCCGGAGTGCAGCATGTTGAGTCTGCAGTGGCCAGGAGCGTGACACTGCACTCCAGCCTGGGCAAGGGAGTGAGACTCTAACTCAAAACAAACAAACAAATAAACAGCAACAACAACAAAAACTTTGATCAGGGCAATGGGTGTGCTCTCTTCCTATTTAATAAGTCACTTTAAATAACTTTTAGTTACAAAACTGAAAAGACTATGTTAGATCAAAGACTCTTACCTGCCAAATTATAAACTGTACCCATTTCTTAAATCTTTAACTTTAACTGATATCTTACTCTATGGGCAGTCTCTAAAAAAAAAAATCAATAGACTACTTTTACCTGCTTTTCGTGTAGTATTCCACCTTAAGTCAAACACATGCACATTCAACAAAATATAAAGAGTATAGTATTTATATGTATAACTAATATGAATTAAAAACTTGTCTTTACAAATTTTTATTAGCATTCTGTGATATATAACAATTTAATATCACTATTACAAGAAAAATGAAATAAACTTATATTATTTAAAGCTCTTTATTGGCTGTGTGTCCTTGAATAAGTCACCTAACTTCTTCACACAATTGAAATGTATTTTTGTGCACCCAGCAATCCACACGGGCATATACCAGGCAACCTTCAACTCAGTGAGTTAGAAGCCTTTGCTTGGCCAACCCCTGGGGACTGGGGGACTTTCTCTTCCAACCAATGGACAGAAAAAGAGAGTATAGGAATTCCTAGAGGAGGTTATTACAGGTCAGGGCTGCACATGATGTCCATCACTTCCATGAACATTTGTTGACAATAGCAAATTTCATGGCCACATCAAACTGCAAAAGAGGATGGGAAACATAGGCCAGCTGTAAGCTCAGGAGTAAGAGTAAACAGATCTGGTTAGCACCTATGTACAGTGGAGGATCTCTGTTGAGTAGGGTCCCACGCTGAGCCTGAGGGCTGGGGTTCTGGACTCACTCTGCATTCCTGTCTTCTGTGCAATGGGTGCTGTAGTTTTGCTTTTCAAAGTTTCTGAAGTTGGCTTCAGAATCTGACTACAAGACTGGGAGCTGCTTGAGGGCTCAGCTTTGGACACTGAGTAAATATTTTCAGGTGGAAAATTTCTGAGAACATGTTTTGAGTTATAAACAACTTATTTATAAACAGACTTTAATAAGAAAACCCATCTGTAAGTTGGGAACTAAATATATGTGTGAGTACAACTGCGTATATTACATCTCACATCTTGAGACAGTGTGAATTGGCTATTGTACAAGATCATTGGTGATTTGTTCCCATGCTTTAATAAGCTTCAATTCTTCATCATCAGGGAGGAGTGGGTCAGAGGCATGTTGGGAAGTGACTGCCTATAATCATCTGGGATTTTTCTCTGTGTAGCCTACTGCCTGCTCTAGATTTGTTGTAGATCAACACAAACCATTATTTTCTACATCTGTGGGTTTTGTGACTCTATAGATTGATTTAAAATATTGTTTTCCATTCACCTCCCGTGGAGCAAAATGAAATTTCATGAGAATAAAAATGTTGGACCATTAAAAAAATAAAGCTCATTGCATGCCAATTCCTCATATTTAACAAAAAGTATTTCTACTGCGCCATTGCCAGGCCATTGCCATGACTGCCTTGCTAAGCTATGGTGTGGCCACCTGCTTAATGAGCTATGGCTAGGTCATGTTTTATTAAGCTTTGGTCCCCTCCCCTACCTTGGAGAGGTGAATAACCTCTTTCTCTCTCTCTCTCTCTAATATACTTTCTAAATAAACTATATTTTCTAATCTAAAAAAATATGTTTCTACTCAGTCTTCCTATGATTTTATGTTAATTATGAAAAATAAAATAAATACATGTAATATTTTGCTAATAAAATACTCTAAAATTAATGTAGTTGGATATAATATCAAATTCTTTAAAGAATTTAAACTAGAATATTCTATTCTTTTAAAATGAATATTTTGGGGAAATATATTCTATTAATTTTCTTTCCACAGATGAAATACAGACAATGAACAGCAGGGGGCAAAAAAAAATCAAAAGTTGTTTGCTACAAAGTGAAACAATAAAATCTCATGGAGTGGAAAGCAGATACATTTTGGGGTCAGACTGTCTGATTCCAGCTGGCTTCATCACATATAAGTTGAATGACTTTTATTTAACCTTTCTTAGCTTCTTCAATGGAAGATTCATAACTGACATGGAGATTAAATGTTAACATATTGTAGAGTGACTAAATAAAACTAGGGCTTATTTCTTCCTTATTACTTATATATGTATATGCATACCAGAAACATACATCGAATAAATGAAAATTTAGATTTTATAGAAATTTATGCAGACCATAAATATGGAAATGACTGTTAGCCATTTGAGTACATATGAATACAGACATACCAAAATTAAACAAAGCTAAACAACAAAATGACATTATTCACTCAAATACAATCACAGTTTTTTTCTACATGTGAAAATATGAATGCCAAAGAAAGTTTCAATGTAGATATTTGATTACATTTTCGACAGTGTTTCTCAGAGTGTGATCCAGGAAAAATCTACAACAGTAGCATCTGAAAGTGACTATTTTGAATGCAGATTTCTATCCTAAGCAGAATCTACTTTTTCAGATCTATGGGAATAGCATCTCAATTTCCTCTGGTAAAACAGAAACAAGAACACCGGTCTTGCTTTCTAGCTTCTATGATTATTTAAACAGCATGTGTTGTGAGGCTAGCACTGTACCTGACACATTTGTCATTATGGTTTTTTTCTAAAATGACACGTATGTACTCACCAATGACTTGCTCAAGAATATCTGATCATAGGGCCATCTATTCTGAGAAGAACTAAGGCAATTTCTGCTACTTTGGACATGAAGGAACAAACATTCTTTTTTATCTGGTTGGTGGCTATGGTGTATTCTTTCAAATAACGTTTTCCCAACATTTTCTATATTCCCTAGGCACTGGAAGACTTGATCTACTTAAAACAAAACCTAAAAACTCAATATACATTCTCACTAATTTTAATTTAACCAATCAAAATTTTAGGTAATTCATATAGCACTAAGCTTAAATATATATTTGTTCACTTTAAAACTTGAGGTTTTATCAGTGAAATTCACTGGTTTGGATTTTTATAAATTTATTCTAAAGCTCTTTAAGTATCAAAATGTAACTGTAACAAATATTGATGTAATCATCACATACCATTCTTATCTATTCAACAAGGATGTCTACTCAAGAGTTTACTTTCCAACTATTAATCTAGTTCAAAAATAAAATAAAAAATCATTTATCTCTCATCAATCAAAAAAACCACTAATAACATTTTAATGTTTAATCTTCCTTGGTTTTCCAGTACATACACATAAACTGTATTTCCTAAAAAGTGGATTAAACTCTATGTATTACATAATTTGTAAGCCATTTCCAATTCAGTAGATAATAATATTCATCATATTCTTAATGACTGCCTGTTATTTGATAGTATAGGTATGATGATCATACTATGAAATAACAGCCAATCATATAGTTATGATACCATATAGATATGATACTATATTTCATCTATCCCACATTATTGAATTTTTTAGACTATTTCTTATTTTTAATCTCTAAACAAAAATGTGATAAAACCTTTAAGATAAATCCTTAGAATTACTAGGCTAAAAAGGATGTGTGAGAGGCTATAAATATGTGTTTTCTCATATCCTCAACATTATAGGAATATTATTGCTCTTTTCCCTTTTTTTGCTAATATAATAGGGAAAAATATCATTTCAACTTACAATTTTTTATTAGTAAATTTTTTTAAAAAGATCATATTGATGACCTATCATATGTCTTCTTTTGTGAATTGCTTTTTCATGCCTTTAGTCCCCTCCCATATTACAAAGTCTTTCTGTATTTTGAAAACCTCGTCACCAGTTTGTCTTTGCTAACAATTTTTTTCGTACAGAAGTTTTTGTTTGTTTTTTAAATCATCTATTCTGTCAATCCTTTTATATACAATTTCTGCTTTTAGATTCTACTTGGGAAGCTTTTTTTTTTTTACCCAAAATTATGCAAATATTTACCTATGCATTCTGGTACAGAATATAAAGTACATACCCAAGCATATATAAGAATTTAAAATACCAATTCATTTAATCATTTATTCATGTGTGCATATTCATTCATGTATAGTGAGCATATATACACCAGGAAATGTTCTAAGTGGGGATAAAGCAGTGAACAAGACTGCCAGGGTTCCTGCTCTCATGGAGTTATACTCCAGAAGGAATATAATCATGTAGCATATAATTTAATGGGAGATTTCAAATCAATGGGGGAGAGAATGGACTATTTAATACACGATGCCATTATAACTGCTACTTAACCATTAGAAAAAGATTATTTCATAACATCAAGCGTATTACAAATGGATTTAAAGTCTATATTTTAAAACCATGAAAATAGTATGAGAAAAACAAATATTATATAAAGAAACATATATATTTCTAAACATGAAAATTTTACAGCAAGATCTCAAGGCAATTTGGAAAATGACATTTTTTTTTTTGAGTTGGAGTCTCACTCAGTTGCCCAGACTAGAATGCAGTGGCCGCTCCCGGTCACCGCAGCCTCAACCTGCTGGGCTCCGGCGATTCTTCTGCCTCAGTCTTCCAAGGGGCTGGAATTACAGGCGTGCGCTACCACACCCGGTTAATTTTTTTGATTTATTGTAGAGATCAGATCTCGTCAAGTTGACCAGGCAGGTCTCGAACCCGCAGGCTCAGGCAATTTGAGTGAAAGCACCGGATTATAGGCTGAGCCACCAAGCTCGGCCGGTGACATATTTTTTTAATGGAATACAACAAGGCAATTTTTGAACAATAATCTTTATTAGTGTATTTTCCAAGGTACATATAATCTTGAGCTACTGCATTCATACATTTGTCATTTATTCTTCAAAGTTTACATGTATTTTGTTCCAAATTTTGATAAGTACATTTTTATACTAATCAGTAACATATAATAATTTAAAATATTAGTCTTATCCCTGAAATCACCAATTAATTTACTCAAATCATCTCATTATCTAATTCTACTACATTAAAAACTTTCAAAAATTACTTCTCAATTAAGCAATTTCTTTTTAAAACTGCAAAGATAGGCAGTGCAAGAGCTGATTCCATAAATCTGAGAATTCTGAGAAAACTGTTGCTCTTTATCTCTGATCTATTTTCTTGAATAATCTGGGCAATTCTCTGATAAATTACATTTGAGAATAATGGTAAGAGTACCCCTAATCTCAACATTTTAGCTAGTGTGAAATGTCATAGGCTCCCTTCACACATAAGCAGTACATAATTATGCCAATAAGAAAAAATTACCATGATCTAATGAAAAGGAGCACACTCCAATGTATATATGTCTTTGATTAAATGGTTAAGTGTTACAAAACATGTGATGTGAAATACTTCCTTCAGCCTCCATAAAATAATACATACAGTGGATAAACATTAAATCCATAAATCCAAAACGGATCTTTTATAATTAGTAAATAAAAAGACAAAAATGAAAGACAGAAAGGCCTATGATCTTTGTGAAAAGACATTTATCTAACATCTCCAACTGTGGACAAATAAATATTTTCATTCTTGTATTTTAAATTACTACCAAAAATATTGTATCTTTCTACAAACAACAAAAAACAGGCATACGGTATCTAGAAATGTTTTTTTCTCTGACAAGAATGTCAAGTCTTTGAAAGTACGCTAAATTTTTTTTCCTGAATAAGGTCACTATAATCTTAGGTTAAAGTTACAGTAAGCAGTTCAAGCAAATGCATATTGCTTAGGTTTTAAGCAAGCAATTTTGATATGCTATTTAATTAAAATGTAAGTATAAATATGAAACTATTATAGAAACATTTATACACACTTCTTGGGAATACTCACAAATCAACAAGTAATGAAATAACTGATTTCAAAATAATGAAAGGGTGATATTATATGTAATGTTTGGTAACAAATCCAAAAATATCTTTAAGAAATGCAAAAGAACATGAAAACACAGCTTAATTATTCCAATTTTTTAAACCTAGCAGCAAAATAAACTATTTGCATATAATGTAGTACAATGAGCATTTGTTCAGAAAAGACCTCAAAGTCTTTAAACTATTATACATAAACCAGAAAAGAATCCACTAGGATAAATAATCTAAAGATGTCCAGAGTAGCTTATCAAGAACTGCTAGACATTCTTACCTGCATCACTGAATCATAAACAAGCTTATGCAAAACTGTGTTCTGGATAACTGACTCTTATGGCTCCCCAGTAACAAGCTCGGATAAGGCAGATCAAACCTAAGAGATAAGCAATTGCCCAAGAAACATAAGTTGCATGAAATCGCCTTGCAAAATCTTGGGTGCCAACCTAAAACAAAAAGCAATATAAAAACAAAAGATTAGAAACTTTAAGAAAATATCTGCTTAGAGAATTTGTGCTTAGTGTGATTTTTAGGAAATATATCCTCAGACTGAAGCCACAAACATAAACATAAAACATGAGTAGGTGTATCTGTGGACTGTAACTAACAGACAATACTGCTACTTATATTAACTATAAATTTTATGAAGTAAAAAGCACAAGAAAATAAGTTATCTCTAAAAGGAATTCATCTATGTAACTTCTTATTTTCATGGGACACAATAGGACATTGCTAATAATACGGGACCAGTAGTACTGAGGAACAAAGGAGTACAGAAAGTAAAAGGCCAAAACAGATCTGTTTCTTCCTCTTTTGGCATAATTCTCATGCCAACTGCTTAGCTTCAGTTTCCTATAAGAATAAGCCATCCAGACCTCATCTCTACAATAAATCAAAAAATCAGCCGGGCATGGTAGAGCGCGCCTGTAATTTTGGCTGCTTGGAAGGCTGAGGCGGAAGGATCGTCGGAGCCCAGCAGGTGGAGCCTGCGGTGGCCGGGAGTGGCCACTGCACTCCAGTCTGGGCGACAGAGTGAGAGTCCAACTCAAAAAAAAAAAAAAAAAAAAAAGAATAAGCCATCCCCATATTGGTAATAAATCTCTGCTTGACTTGGATATAGAGAAGAATGGTTTTCAGATCTCCAAGCAAAATTGGTCAAGCAAAATTGGTTCTGGCACTAAATAAAAACAAATGGTCTTCTGTTAAATGAATGGCAAAGTTCCCAATAGCATGGACTTTCAGAAGGGTACAAAAACACCATTTCACCTGGATGGGCAAGTTCCATTAATAAACAGATCCACGGATTGAGTGGCCGATTGCCCAAATTTATTCAGAAGCTTCTGGGCCTGGCATGCTAAGGAGACAGTCTTAGTGGTCACTAAAGATTGTCCTATGTCTTGCCATTAACTACTAATAAAACTGAGAAGAAAAGGATCTAACAACAAAGTAATACTCACAGTTAATCCAACTCCAATGAAAATACATATCATCCCAATGGTAATATATGCACAACAGCGTCTTCGTGGAAGTGCACTACCCACTGAAGAGCTGCAAATTCATGACAGCAAAGAGAACATTAAGTATTTACATAGTCTCCATTTCATCGTTGTGAGTTCTTACTTATAGCTTTAGTAACATTATTTTATATACTTTTATTTTATTTTGCTTCAACCTTAGAGACAAGAACGTGCATTTTAAAACGTCATTTTGATGAGTGACAAAATCATACGTGGTTACTGTTTTACTGTTGTAGCTTTAAACAAAGTTTATGCCTTGCTCATTGGTAAGATTTATCAAAATCCACTGTAGTCCCTAATAATCTTCCAAGATAAAGTCTATTTCCAAAAAAATGCATTCCAGAATGGAAAATCAGGGCTAATCTTACAAACAGCATTTGATTTTTTTTACAGTTTTAACAGTATATATTTAATGTAGAAAATTTGGAAAATAAAGGAAAAAGGAAAAAAAATTACCTATGACCCTGCCATTATAAAACAGTTGCTTAATATTGTGGCATATTTTCCTCTGGCCATTTTTGATAATTTATCAATATATAGCATGAATACTTTCCTGTCATTAAGTATTCTCAAGCTGGAATTCTGATAGATGAATATAACATAATTAACTGATTCTTTACCATTGAACATTTAAAGTATACTCATTATTATACATGCCAACAAAGCATCATGTGAAAGCATTGTGCTTATTTTTCATCATTTTCTAAAGTTTTTTTAAAAATTAGGATTACAAAATTAAAGGCATTAAGCTTTTTGGAGTCTTTTAATAACACAGTCAAAAAGCCTCTAGGAGGTTAATTTAAATACATATGTTGCTACAGTGTCTCTCAACTGAAATTCAAGATCCAACAGTATTTAGCTCTCTATACTTCTAATAGTGATAATTTTCAAAATGATAAAAGTTGTAACAGAGAGCAAATACCCAAATTAGTACTTTCTTCCTTGTCTAAACATTCATATTTTTATTAACACATACCACATGCCAGGTACTGTGTTAGTGAATGAATAAAGTATCTAATTCGCCTTTGTGTGGCCAAGTGTCAAGATCATGTCTAATACATAGTAACCTCTCAAAGAATATCTGTTGAATAAGTACACAGAAATACTTGATTTAGAAATGTGCTATTCCAAAACGGTTAATGTTGCATGAAAATTATTTAATTCCCAAATTTGAAAAACAAGATTAAATTTACTGCAAATATACATCATAAATTTTCCTGAATACTTGAATCCAAACATAAACATCTGGATGACCTGGGGCCCATCATTGATTACTGTATTGTACCGCTTTCTATCTGGAGTTACAAGGGCATGTAGTACTTTAGTAACATAATGTTGTATTTAGCCCTAGCTATTTCGGGCTTTAATTCTTGTGCATCCATTTTGTGATTTTTCCTGCATGATACCTGACAGATGGTTGTTGTTTCTCATTACTACCTGTGCACCTGTCTCTAGCAGTCTATAATATACCATGCATTAGAAGTCAACTAAACTTATCAGAATTATGTATTAAAGTTGTCAAAAAGTTCTAAGCGAAGTACAAGTTAGGATTGGGTACATAAGTGGTTTACATACAAGTGAAGTTTGGGCCTCCCATTGGACCTTACTTCACCTGGATTAGGATCAGGCACCCTTATTGATGTTATATGTCCTCCCCACTCCCAAGTGAATATTGAAGCAGCTTTTCTGTGACTCAGGGGAAGACACTTTAGTACGCTAATTTCAGTGTGTGGATTCTGCCTAGAAAACCCCTGCCCTATTTTAATCACTCAACTTAAACAGCCACTACTGGGAAGTCTTCCCAGAAAAGAAATAACTACCGCTACTCCACAACTCTAGTGCCATCTCACCGCCGGGATGAGGCAATGACCAACAAGCACCTATCACATGGAAAATAAAATCTCTTACACATTTAATACATATATGGTGTCTGTATGCAATATTTTGTATTGTTTTGGGTGTGTTAAAACTTTATATGTGTTTGTGTCAAACTGTATCCTTTTGTGACTTGCCCTTTTTACTTGCTCTATATTCTACATGAGCTTTTTATATTGATGTGTGAATAGCTAGTTGATTCATTTTCACAACTGATATTATATGAATATAACACAGTTTTCTCATTCTCCCTGTAGATGGACATTCAAATTTTTTTCTCAATATTTTTCTAGTATAACAATGTTGCTTTAAACACCCTTTTGTGGCCGGGCTCGGTGGCTCAGCCTGTAATCCCGTGCCTTTGGGAGGCTAAGGTGAGTGGATTGCCTGAGCCTGCGGGTTTGAGACCCGCCTGGGCAGCGAGACCTCATCTCTACAATAAATAAAAAATCAGCCAGGTGTGGTAGCGCATGCCTGTAATTCTGGCTACTCGGAAGGCTGAGGCGGAAGGATAGCCGGAGCCCAGCAGGTCAAGGCTGCGGTGGCCGGGAGCGGCCACTGCACTCCAGTCTGGGCGACAGAGTGAGACTCTGACTCAAAAAAAAAACAACCAACAAATAAATACCCTTTTGTGTCTCCTTATATATACGCAGGCACTTCTCAAACATACCTAGGAAAAGAATTTCTGGGTTGTATTGCAAACATATCTTCAACTTCAAAGTTTTACCCCACCAACACTATATGAGAGCTACCATTGCTCCACCCAAATTCTCATCAACTTGGTATTGTTCTCATTTTTTAAAATTTCATGAGTGTGAATGATATCGTATTATGGTTTTAATATGCATACCCCTGGTTTTTAGCAAAGTTGATCATATTTTGAGATGTTAGGTGACTATTGGTTTTCTTTTTCTATTAATTACTTGTTCATATCTATTGCCCCTTTGTCTTGGCTGTATTTTGCTTACTGATTCACAGATATTTACATAATCTGGATACTATTCCAGGCAGCTGTATACATTGCATATATCATCCTACAGCCTGTTTTTTAAAACTCATTTTTAAAAACATCTTTTGGGAAAGAGTTTTTATTAATGAAATCAATGTAGTCTACATCTATCCTAATACAGTAAAAATTATCAATCTTTTCCTTTAAGGCTTAGGATGTCTTATACCTTATCTAGGAAATTATTTCCTACCTCTATCATAAAAATATTTTTCTATATTTTCTTTTAAAAACTAAAGTTTGACTTCTTGTATTCATGTCTTGATACATAAGAACATAGTCTTGAGGACGTCTGGCAAGATGGCGACGGGGCAGCCTGGTCTGTGAAACCCTCTGCAAAGGAGAACTGCAGTGAGTCTCTGGCTCTCGCCACGGGGGCTGCGGACCCCAACATCGTAGCCTGCTCTTCATACGGAGCTCGGCCGTTGCCACCGCTGGGGCATCGCAGAGGACTGGACAGCCACTGCAGCACAGACGCCACCACCGCCGTTAGCACATCGCATCACCCAGGCCAGAGGCGATCCACGACTTCAGTCCTTGAAGCCCCTTCAGGGAAGATCTGCTGGGATCACTGCCACCTCTCCTGCGACCGAGACATCCTGCCCGCCGTGAGTCTCCTGTTGTGTGCCCTGAGGCAGGCATCCATCTCCAGTCTCTGCCGCTTCCTGTCCCACCCCACCCACTCTAAGGCGAGCAGCTGAGATAGCACCACCTGCTGGCGATTCAAGGTAACAACACCGAAACGGGAGAAACAAGCTTGAAGAAGACACAGACCAGAGTGGTGAACAGAGGGTGATCTAAATTGTCCCTCACAGCAGACCAGGGACAACTGACCCTAACTGCAAACTAATTTACCAGCTTGAAAAGAAAGCTAGAAATGAGAACTAAAAGGACACTGGACTTAAACAAAAAGTCTCAGAGTGTGCTTCATTGATTCTGTTAGTTTAATGACTTAATTCTATTCCTACTGTATAGTTCCTTTTTTTTCTCTTCCTTTTCTTCTCTTTTCTTCTCTCTGTAAACAATATCTTTCTATAGATGAACAGCACACCAATAAGGTGGTTGGTTAGCTTGTATGTTAGCATCATTATATGTTTTATTTTTTTTGTATGAAAGTTGGTTCATCTGTAGCTGTGGTCTATTGTTTTTATCTGTTTCAGTATAGGCCTCTCTCTCTAT